AAGGGTTCTTTGACTGTTGCTCGTGGCAAGCTTTGTTGCACCTTGTATAAGACACACTTGAAAGTGTGTACTAGTGAGTTGAATGCTGTTGAGGAGAAAACTTCTCCTAACTTATGGCATCGCAGATTGGGCCATGTTAGTGAGAAGGGCATAAAGCTGTTGGCTGGTAAGTCTCTTATTCCTGCCGATGTTACCATTTCACTTGACCCTTGTGATCATTGTTTAGCAGGAAAGCAGCATAGAGTTTCTTTTCCGATGAGATCCAGGAGAAAGAAACTAAAGCTAGAGTTGGTTTACTCTGATGTGTGTGGTCCTATTGAGGTGGATTCACTTGGTGGTAACAAATACTTTGTTACTTTTATTGATGATGCTACTCGGAGAACTTGGGTTTATATGATGAAGCACAAAAGCGATGTGTTTGGCATCTTTCAGAAGTTTCATGCCATGGTGGAAAGGGAGACAGATTGCAAATTGAAGCGTCTCCGAACTGATAATGGAGGTGAATACACTTCAAATGAGTTTAAAGCATATTGTTCAAGATATGACATTCGGCATGAAAGAACAGAACCCGGTACCCCGCAACATAATGGTGTTGCCGAGAGGATGAACAGAACTATTGTTGAGAAAGTGAGATGTATGCTTAGGATGTCCAACCTTCCTAAGTCATTTTGGGGAGAAGCAGTTGGAACCGTTGTGTACTTGATAAATAGAGCGCCATCAGTTCCTTTGGAGTTTGATATTCCTGAAAGAGTTTGGTTTGGGAGAGATCCTTCTTATTCCCTTTTTATAATTACTATTAATATCTATAAAAATAATAATAGTAATAGTAATAGAAATAGTAATATTTCTATTACTATTATAATTGTTTCTATTATTATTATTACTATTACTATTATTATTTTTATAATTATTATTTCTATTATTATTACTATTAATATAAATATTATTATTATTATTACTATTAATAATACTATTATTATTACTAATATAATTATTATTATTTCTATTACTATAATTATTATTGCTATTATTATTATTATTACTATTAGTTTTTTGATTGTAATTATCATTACTATTATTATTTTAATTATCACTATTATTATTACTATTAATATTAGTATTATTACTATCATAATTATTACTATTATTATTAATTAGTATTATTATTACTCCGTATTATAGTTGTTATTAATATTACTATTTTTAATACTAACTACTACGTATAATTATTAGTACACCGGATGGCTGGGAAATTGGCAATGCATTTGACAGATGGAGTTCTAAAAAAAAGAAGGAAATCATTAACATGCATTAAAATGGGGTCTAATCGTGTTGTCAGGGTCATAATCATCAATTGGAAAGTGGGAAAAAAATCCTACTCCCTCCGTCCCAAATTATTTGCAACATTTCGAACGACATGCAAAATATCATCTCTTTTAAAATCATTATATTTTCAAATTGGTAGAGTAATAAAAAGTAAAATTTACATCATTCAAAAGTATATGGAAAGTTCCACAAAACAAGATGCGACAAGAATATTTTATTTTATCAAATGATCAACCAAAACGAGTAAACAAACAAAAGTTATCGAGAGGCCAAAATAGTAACCGTGACATTTTTTCTAGGACGGAGGAAGTAATATTTTAGACTCGACTGTGGGTGTTTCTTATTCCGCTCTTATTACCAAGTGTAAATGTTAGAGTAACTCCAATGGGTCGTGTATATTGTAAAAAATACATTATATACAAGACCCTATATAGTTGTATATTATATACTGTAAAAAATACATTATATAGGATGCAATTCTTCTTCTCTCTCTAGTTTCGGTGCATCAACAATGGCAATGCGAAAATGGAATGCCACACAGTGACATGAAACATTTTAACCAATAAAAAATAGTCCAGTCAGCGTGTGGGGAGTAAATGGAGTGGCAAGTCCTAAAATGGCAAGTCATTATTTTTTATCACTTTTTTACAATTTTTTTATGTTTTTTAGACATAAAAAAAATATTTTATTATTTATTTTATTAAAAAATTATTCTACTTTCTTGTACATTTTTTTTCATAAAAAATTTTTTAAAAAATTATTTTTTTTAAAAAAGAAAAAAAGTAGTATGAAGTACCACTGCCTCACCAAGCAAGACATTTTGGCCCCATGCCATGATATATGAGTGGAAGAAGCTGATGTGGGAGTGCAAGGCATCCCTCTTCCTTGCCATTGCACATGCTCTAAGAAAGCGGGAGGGATGCCGGGTAAAATTGATGAACGAGGATCTATTTTCGTAGCATCTGTAAACATTTTAAGATTATTACTCCCTCCGTCCGGATTTGAAGTACCTATTTTGACTTTTGGTCATTTTTATTGGGCATTGACTTTGTGTGTAAATGGTCTAAAACACCCTTGCGGCCCTGCCCTTCACCGACCATTTCACTCACCCAACACCGCACCTTTCTCCTACTACCTTCACCAACACCAATCGCCGCCCCTTGCTCCGATCATCTCTGTCGCAGGGCCACCGCCACCGCCACCGTCAGCCTCCCCACCGCCGCAGGCCTGCCGTTCCTTGTAGATCTGGGGAGACTGTGAATTGAAGATTTTGATTAGGGAAAGAAGAAGAAGAAGAAGAAGAAGAAGAAGAAGAAGAAGAAGAAGAAGAAGAAGAAGAAGAAGTAGATCTAAGGAGACTAGAGAGAGAAAGAAGAAGTAGATCTAAGGAGATTTTGAGAAGAAGAAAACAAAAAGAAGAGGAGAAATAATTGGGATTGAAGAGGAGGAGGAGAAAGAAATAGACCAGTGGACAATGGAAGAGTGCAGATCCGAGAAAAAAGAAAGAAAAAGAGATAAGGGATTAGGAATTGAAAATGAAGGGAGAAAGAAAAAGGAAGAAAGAAGGGGGAAAGGGTATTTTAGGAAGAATAGGTATTAAAACGTAGAATGAGAAATTAAAATCCGGACGGAGAAAAGCGTAGAATGGGAACTTAAAATCCGGACGGAGAGAGTATTTGTCTGCATCCTCGTATGTCATATTGGCTTGGCTTGCATTCATGATAAACATCTGTGCATTTATAAATTCATTTTTGGACAACTTACTTGTTGAAATATTGGAATAATAATATTGCTTCTTGAATAATGGAGTACATGATAGAGCATATATAGAAAAGACTCCTAACACAACTAGGAATAGAGAATGGAAACTAACTAAAATATAACTTCTACCATAACTAGGAATACTTAATATTATTGTCTAACATCTCCCCTCAAGCTGAACTCTAGGTGAAGCAAGAGGAAGCTTGGACAGTAGCTGGGAACTGGAAACTTTGAGAAGAGACAAGTCCGACGTGCGCCAGTGGCCGCTGACATCGTTGGAGAAGAGAGATAGGGTTGACGTGCGCTTGTAGCTACTGACGTCGAAGAAGAACAAAGAAGGCTATTGGAGGTGTCTCTTTGATTGATGATCCTTGACATTCTTTGTCTTTTTCTTGGATCAGGGTAATGCCCTAATTCTTTCTTGAAAGGTGAGTTGCAGAGATATTCTTTTCTCTTTCACTACTTCCCCTATTGGCTTTGTTTTTGTTGTGAATTACTTTGGGTAGTTTTGCATTGAAGAGAAAAAGAAAGGGGATTATAAATAAGAATTAGTGATTGAGAGAGAGAGAGAGAAAAAAAGAATGGATGAAGAATTGGTGGTGAAAAAGATCTGAGTGTGAGATTCTAATCTGGTAGCAGGAGAGTTGCAAATCCGTCAAACAATGATTGACTGAGTTTTCTAGCAACTATTGAATCCAGGTGAGACGGTGATGGTGGAGATCTGATCCACTAGCATCAATTGAGAAACTTCATTGCTCGTTGCAGTGGCACTGAGGATGGGTTGTGAATTGTGATGATGATGACCGAAACTCCACTGTTTTTTTTCAACGACTTTTTTTTTGCTCGAGAAATTTAGATGGGAAACAGATAGGATGCTGCCGCCGTATATGGCGGCGGCCAAAGAACAATTAGATGTACTGTCATGCCATATTGAACACGGGATTTTTTTTTGAATGGAGAAGTTGATTTGAGGATAAAAGAAGGAAAAGAAGATAGAGGTGAATAGGGTGCCGTCGTCGCCGGAATTACCGGCGGCGGCGACGGAAGCAAAGAACTCTTTTAGGTCACCAATAGTGGTGGCTCCGATACCATGTTGAAATATTGGAATAATAATATTGCTCCTTGAATAATGGAGTACATGATAGAGTATATATAGAAGAGACTCCTAACACAACTAGAAATAGAGAATGGACACTAACTAAAATATAACTTCTACCATAACTAGGAATACTTAATATTATTGTCTAACATTACTTATGCTTAAAAAATAATACTCGTATGTATTGGCTTGCATTCATGATAAACATATGTGCATTTACAAATTGATTTTTGGAGAACATTCCTATATAGTTTAATTGAAGTTTGGTAACGAAAAATGACATTTCCAAAAATTAGCCTGAGGTTGAAGATGACACTGTTCAAGACTATGCGCAGAACGTTAGCCTTGATACCGCCGGCACTGTAGGCTAGCTACCGCCTCCTTCATGAAAATCGCCTTTCTTTGGCGGTACCTGATTACCGGAGGTACCTTGTACCGTCGGCACGGTACCGAGGTACCGTTAGCCGGTACCGAGGTACCTCGAGGAGTACCGCCTGGTCTGATATTTTTTCCAAAAAACCTGATTTTTGAACTATGAAATTCTATTTTTAATACCAATCAATTATGACCAATATGAATATAAATTCTGGAAATAAAAATGATGTTTTGATAAATCCAAGAATCTTGTTTAATGCATGACGGTAAGCTAGGGTGGTAACACTCGATGCTAGGCTGCTATTTGTTATTTATGATTATTATTGATTGACGAATATGATAAATATTATTAGTTGATGATAATGATGATTGAATTTTAATATTCTGATTAAAGTAATAATTATGAATGATTAAATCATAACTCAAAATGGACATATTGATGATTATGAAAATGATGTGTATTGTTAAGGATATCTAGAAGAACTTTAAGATATAGCATTTGGACATTTATGACTATTAAGGATATCTAGAAGAAATCTAAGATATACCTATGTGACCAATTCATAATTCAGGGTTAAAACGTACATACGGGATCCAGACCGGATATCACCCGCCCGAGAGTTCACTGTTCGGTTGGTACGTGAACCACAAGACTCATAGGGCGGATCATCGATTCTTGTGTTCTGCCTTAAACTATTTATAGTTTAAGAGTCCGGTTAGATATATTGTCTTCAACTAGTAATAGTTATGAGCTTGTTATAAAAATGATTTGGCCTTAGATTAAGAATAATTTAAGAGCACTATTGAGATATTGATCATTGCATATAATTACTTGAATTTAATATAGTGAATATCATGAATAATGAATGCTTGAATTGTATATTGTGTGCATGATATCAAATGGTTGATTATGAATTGAGATTCAATTTATATGGATGTTCGACGCATTAGATATGCTTACTCAGTTTAACCGCTGAGCGTGCAGTATGTTTTATTTGCTACACGCATGTAAACAAAAAGGATGAGGTGATGAATTCCTGGCAGCAGACGGGGCAAAATGGTCAAGGTGGATGTGTGAAATGAATTAATGTTTAAAGAGACATAAAATTATTATGTTTTGTAATTGTTATTTTTAAGCTTCCGCGACGTTAAACTACTCCGTTATCATCTTGAATGATTTATTATGAAATAAAGTTTTAAATGTTTGAAATATTTTTAATGTTTACGAATACCAAGTTTATACTTTAGTCCGAAAAGGGGCTGCACACCTGAACGGATTAGGGTGTCACATTAAGAGTATTTTCTGCATCCTTGTATGTATTAATTTGCATTCATGCCAAATAGTTGTGTTTTTATAGATTTTGTTTTTGGACAACTTATAAAAACAAATTGATAATATGAATCCCGAATAACATGAGTTGCATTCATTATATGTATACACTGATGAGTGATGAATGTCAACATCCTTATATGTATACAATGCAGGTTGGGTATGAACGTATGCATTAAAAAGGCAATTGCACAACAACCTCTAGAGTTGGAAAGAAGCATAAAATGGTAGCATCTGTAGCTTGTAAAAGTGATTGAATTAGGAAAAGGCAATTGAAAAACACAGCAAATGAGTTACATAATTTGTTAAAGTATGAAATGATAATGAAAATTGAGACTTTACGAATAGTATACTATATAGTTAAGGCTCTGTTCCGTTCAAATTATTTTTTCAGTCTGATTTTTTGTAGTTCTGATCTGATCTGATCTGATCTGGTCTGATCTGATTGGATCTGATCTGGTCTGGTCTGATCTAATTGGATCTGATCTGATCTTATGTGATTGGATTTGATCTGATTAATAATGATTTGATTTAAAATTAAAATCAATAATTTGATTTGAGTTTATAATAACGTTTGAAAATTGTAATGATATTTCATATTATAATATAATCAATATTTTTTATTTAATAATTATTTTTTAATAAAATAAAATTAGTTAATTTATATATTAGAATAATCATTCATATTTTAATGTAATAATATATTTTATTTTATTATTATTTTTTTGTGAAATAAGAATATTGATTTAATATTTTAATAATTAGTTCACACAGACATTAGAATAAATATTTAATTTATATAAAATCAATACAGAGAAGAGATAGTATTTTTATTAAAATATCTCATCTTTATAAAAGATCAAAACTTTAGAAACTCAAATTACAGGTAGCAATAAAAATGTATTTTAAAAGTAGAATTAGATTGACATTGTCAATGTATTTTAAAAATAATTTTTTCAATATCTAATAATTAAGGATTAATTTCTCAGTTTTCTATTTAACTTGTTTCTAAAGTTTATTCTTTTTCATTTTTAAGAAGAAGACGAAGAATAATAATAATAATAATAATAATAATAATTCTTTATGGGATCTGATCTGATCTGATTAGATCTGATCTGATCTGATTAGATCTGATCTGATTGGATCTGATCTGATCTGATTTGTTCTCATCTGATCTGATCTGGTCTGATTTGATCTGATTTTAATAAGAATAAGAAAAATAAGAAAAAATAAATTGAACAGAACAGGGCCTAAGTCCCATGATATTAGGATATTTCGTGTGACCGGATGTAGTTTATATGCAACTTGTACATCGATGAAGCTCATATAGAATTGAGTATTCATGTCGAAAAAATGCATAGTCTGAATATTGTGTTGTGCAATTTATATCTTTTAGTATTTACTCATCTAATGATTTGTAATTAATGCAATTTGACTATCACTGTTGTGCATTTTTTATCTCGATAGTACTTAAACAAATCCTTCCCACACATTGCTTGATAATATGCTTCAATACAAGCTCTAACGACCTCGACAATGGGTTCACACTTGTCATTTGATGATGCACTTTGACAACAATTCTTGTGCATTCTTAATCCCGATAAATATAAAACACATACTTTAATACATTAAAGTATACCTTTTAAAATGATAATAAATAAAATTTAGAAAATTATTTATTCATTTCGTATTAATATTGCACTTGAGCAAGACACCAGTACTTGTAGTATGGAATTTTATAAAGACAATACTAGTAAATTCTAAAAAGGTGTTATGTTAATTTTAAAAGGCAATAATCATGGTTTCCTTTTCTTCTCTAGAACGTCATGTGAACATAAGTTACTAGCATTAAGAAACTTAGTATATGATAATGTTACCCCAAAGATGTTCATATATTTGAAAACTTCCTTGAGAATATCACACCAACTAGAAAATTAGTGCAACTTCATGCTAGAAAAATTATGCAAAACATCAACATGAAAGAGAAATTTTTTTATTTATTGTCAACACACTTACATTAAGGTATCATCACATTCCCGACAAAAAAGATCAACTAATGTAATTTAAAGAGGAGTTTTATTAAGGATGAAGTAAAAGAATAACAAGGACGGGTGGCCTGAAACCCCAATAAGATAGATAAAAAAAGAAAAAAAACCAAAACCAGAACTACAACAACCCTATTGAAAACTTATAATCTGCACAACCTATAAAATACTTATATTTTGAAAGTACTGGTGTGATATTCCCAATCTATATTATGCAGCCTTATTATATCCTTCTTAAAGCATTATAATATATGTTCAGTAGCTTCCAACAACTGCGCACAACAGTCCTCTAAATAAGCATCTTTAATTTGGATCTTCCCCGCACTTATATTTCAACCTACATCCAGTTATGGGAGCTTCTAAACAACCTATAGCATCAGCAGACAGCAACACTTTAGGTTTGGATGTAGTAACAGCTCCACATTTCGTAAGAGGTTGGTTGCTCCTCAGAGATGATGATATTGATTCATCTTGACTCATCCTGGGCAATTGAAAAATATGAAATAAATACAACAGTGCAATATTGTTACATGGTGCATTACAATTTGGCAACCGAGCACTATATCACTAACACGGTGCATCTAGGACGCAATTCCTTGAAGTCAAACACATATGATCTACTGGCAATCGGAAGAATAAGATACTGATTTTTAAAGAAACTTGGATGATCTGATTCAATGACTACAAAATAGTTTAACTCTTTGAAAAAAGAACAATCTAACAAACTCAATCCAACAATAAGAACAAATACCTGAATCCATGAAAAACATTATACCAATGAGTGTTCGAAGGATATGATTCGAGAGAAATTACCACCTTTAGTAAGCGATAGAGGCTCATAAGATTGATTCAAAAGTGGGTGGTTATTTGACGAATTAATTAGAGAAGGAAACCGAAAACAAAATGGGTACGTAGAGAACATGAGCTAATATTCCGGAGCAGAACAAATGAAGAAGGAAAGATAAAGATTGGCGTTAAAAGCCCCAAAATAGACACATAGATATACTAATGGCGAGACAAAATCTGGGAAGATCCAACGGCTGATTTTTGATTCTCATTTTTATCACATTCTCACCAAAACACATTTATACATATGCATATATACATTTTGGTTCCGGTGAGAATGAGATCTTATGAAAGAAATAAGAATGAGTTAACACTGTTACGTCTGATTATACTGGGTCAAGTCCTCATGGGTTTTTTTTGGTTTTACACAACTCAATCGCATTTCACTGTATTCTCTCTCCTATCTCTTTCCGTAAAATCCTCTCACAATATCACTCAATTACCTTCTTCCTCTATCACTAGTCGTAACACTTTTTCTCTCTTTGATTTTCTTCAATCTTTGCCATAATTAACAATTAATTTCTTCCATCTTAGATTTTAATTTTGTGGTGGCTAAATTTCATGGATTCTCTGATTTGAGTTCCTTCTTTCAACATGGTGCGAATCGGGGTCGCGAGATGCAGTTGCTGCAGAGACAACGGAGGAGGTAGAGCTTGGCATCTGATTCACGATTAATGCTAAAACAAATCATTGAAAGGTATGGCAGCGGCTTGATTTTTCTTCCATCCAATATAATTAGGTTTTATTTTCTTTTTTCTCTTTCTTTTAAATAATTTAAATCAATTTTTTGTGTAAAGTTTGTATTGAATCATTAGAGTTTATGTTTGCATGCCACATGAACTCTAATGATTCAATACAAACTTTCACAAAAAATTGATTTAAATTATTTAAAAGAAATAAAAAAGAAAATAAAACCTAATTGTATTGGATGGAAGAAAAATCCAGCCACTACCATACCTTTCAATGATTTGTTTTAGCATTAAGAGGAGGTAAAATTAGTTTTAAGAGTAAATTTCATAAAAGGTCGCCCATTATAAGTCGTTTTACATATTTAGTTCCTATAAATCAAATATCAATAATTTAGTCCCCAATTATTATATTTTTTCCACAAATAGTCATTTGTTAACATTTCCGTTAAGAAAATGGATAAAATTGTATATTCACACTATTCTCTTTTTTTCAATTAAGCTTCTTCTCTCCTCTCGTACTAATTTCCAAACCTGTCGCTGAGTTTGAATCTCTAAACCCAAAATCGAAATGAACATTCCTCTCTCAATTGTTCATCTTCCTGGTGAAGCCCAAAATCGAAACCAATAACTTTCATGGATGAGTTAGTCTCAGGAAATTGCAAAGAAAACAAACATTAAAACCTATCCATGAAGGTTATTGATTTTGATTTTGGATTCCACCAGAAAGACAAACAATTAAGAGAGAAGTGATGATTTCGGTTTTGGGTTCATAACTTCAAACTCAGCGAAGAGTTTGGGAAAAGAGTGCGGGAGGAGAGATGAAGCTTAATTGAGGAGAGAGAGGAGTGTGAATTTGTAATTTTATCTACGTTTTTAACAGAAATGTTAACAAAAAATCATTCGTGGAAAGTAATATAATAATTGGGGACTAAATTATTGATATTTGATATGTATGGACTAAATATGTAAAATGAACTATAACTAGAGACCTTTTATGAAATTTACTCTAGATTTAATCATAAATTGATGACAAAATATGAAACCTGCATATGGTAAAAGTTACAAAACAGTACATAAAACTTATAAACTTAAAAATAAAACTTACATACTTAAAAAGTACATCAAAAATTCTACAAAACAAGATGTGACAAAAATATTTATTTAATCAGAGAATCAACAAAAACTCTCAAATAAATAAAAGTTTCCGCGATTTTTAAATGGGTAAAGTGTGCAAGTCAATTAGGAACAAAGGGAGTAACTTATAAGTCAGCTGATGACATGCTTTTCAGTGCTTATAAACTTGAAAAAATAAAAATATCTTACCTACTTAATTTTAAATCAATTTTTTTGTTTCTCCATTTTGGATAGAATATTTACAAAACCGTTTTTCACCACTTATGAACATATTTAAATGACTTATCTATCAATTAAGTCATTTTACTTGTATAAACTAATATTTATTATAGAAACAACTTATAAATTAAAAATAATTCTAGAGCAAGACCCTTTAATTCTTTCTTATCAAAGTGTTGGTGAGGGCCATTGAATCACTCCTACTCCGTATTTGGCACAAATGTTGGCACTTTGTCGCTATTTAAAATTTTTCAACCAGCCAGCCTGGGCAGTACTCAGCAGAGCACTCCCTCTCCTCCACATCACGGCATGCCACCGTATTCAACAATCTCCGTTTCCCGATAATAGTCGGCACCGAATTTGTTTCCGTATATAGCTCTTCCCTTTCTCTTCTCTCTTGTTTCCTCTCTTTATCCGGCGATCAAAATGACGGCAGCTAGCGCCTCACCGGCTGTGTTTTTGGTTTCGAACTTGAATCATGGAAACCTTTTCTTTCAGGATATCTTTTCTAGCCGAGGGTTCCTCAAATTGCACTGGAAGAGGAGCCATCCGTGCTCGAGATCTCGGAATTTCAGAGTTTTTTGCGATTCAACGGTGACTAACTTAACTTGACTACCTGTTTTTTCTTCATTTGCTTGTCTAGACTCTAAATAGGGGATGCCTATTGAATCAGCTTTGTTTATATTTCGAAATGTTGCTTGTCGATTCGAGATGATGGAGTAGATATAATTGGCTATTACAATGTCTGAGTTTGGTAGGCTGTTGGGTCTTGTTTAGTACCCTTTAAAATCTGTTTAGACTATGAAATGATGAGTGCCTATACTGCCAGGCAGTACTCATTTTCGCACAAAGCACAAGTGTTCATTTTGGAGTACAAGAGTATTTATTCTGAAATAACGTGGTGTTCATTTTAAATCAACGCAATACTCATTCTGAAATAATATAGCATTCATTTTTACACATTTGTTCATTACAATTATAATATTCATTTACGAATAACGCATTGTTCATTCTTAAACAATGTGGTTCTCATTCTGATGCAACTTAGTACACATTCTAAAGCAACTTACTATACATAAATTGGGAGTTCTCTCTTTACCTATGGACAACCATCTCTCTTTTCTTCTTCCATAGAACAAAGCCGCCGCCTACTCCTCATATCCTCCATCTTCGATCAATGCCAGCGCCACCAACGAGTACGACAGTGAGTAGGGGGATGACCTCCATCTCCGTCAGCCGTCAGCTAGGGTTGCTGAGCCGCCGTCATCGCCGCCACCACCTTCACCTATCGTCGACCACTGCCCGTCATCCAATTTCTGGCCTCCCCTTCGTCGGCTTCCCCTTCATTGGCGCGCCTCTCCTCGTATCTAATTGTCGTCTGTAACGGTACCGTTGCCTAGTTTGCTAGTTTTTTTGCTACAGAGAAATCTCCTATTGATAGAATTTAAGGTTGGATCAAATGGGCTCAACTCATGTCAAACGATACTAAAAGATTGAATTCAATCAAAACAAATTTGCTAGTTCAGATTAAATTTGATTAACCCATCTTTTTTCTTGAATTTCCAATGTGGAATTTTAGCACTCCGCTCAAGTGGAGAATCAAGACATTTTGAATATAATTGGTTGACGACTTGCAAATGGATAACCGTAAAAATGAGATGAGCCAAAACTGGCTTTGATAACATGATAGAATCTAAGCATTGGGCAGGTGTCATTCAATTGTGCCATAAGACACTTGTGTCAAACCACACTAAAAGATTAAATCTAATGGACTAGCTACTTCAACTCAATATCTTATTAATAAATCTTTCTTTCCTTGACTTCCTAATGTGGAATTTTAACGCCTATAGTTGAAGCTTTGAACTCATCTTTAATTACTCAGCATTAAAGTGATCATTGCTATGGAATTGATTGAGATGGAAAAATAATAAAAGAAAAAAAATATGGAAACACAAATCGGATGAAACCACTGTAAAGGAAAAGATTTTCACTAATTGGAAATAATATGAGTTACACATTTTTCTCAAAGTAGGAGATAATAATAATAATAATAATAATAATAATAATAATAATAATAATAATAATAATAATAATATTCAGAATAATAGTAATACAATATCTTGAATTCTCACTAATTGGATTTACGCGGATTTGCTATGTCAAGATAATAATTAATATCCAAATATATGTAACCTCTAACCATAAACTTATCTCCATATCATTGTGCAATGCCAGTAAGCACGATCCTATAATGTAGGCATGCATTATGTGATCAAAATGGTACTCTGTATTTGATATCACGATATGATAAGAAAGGTGAACCGTGTTTACTTTTTCCCATTTATACTTTTTCAAATATAATAGAATCCCCATTTATACTTTTTCCCTTTTCTCAATGAAGGAAGTTCAAGTTAGGAAATGCTCACCTGTTCTGGAGAGCATGTTTCTGTCAGGGTCCTCAGGGACTGTCTCATTTTCATCTTCCGAATACAAAACAGTTCCTGATATTTGGAAGTCAGCAGCAGAGAAGTTTGGCAATCACATAGCTTTAGTTGACCCATACCATAATCCTCCAACAAATTTAAGCTATAAGCAGGTTAGCTTTCCTTTCGATATATTTGTTGGTTGCAGTATTACTCAATTGATTACTTTTCTGATCATGTGAATCCCAATATAGTGGTAAGGTTTGGTAAAATATCCTCTCCTATTTCGTGTATCTCATGGGGGGAGGGGGGCATATGCACTTGGATCTCTCTTTTGAAGGTTGGCTCTAGTGTGTCCGTTAAGTGCTCACTTGTTCACCCTTAGGTAGTCGTATGGTACTAGGTCATATAGGCCATTGCTTCAAATCGTTTAGACAACAAAGGTAAACATTTGTGAATCTTACCTTCCTAGATTGGACTATGTTATTGCTGTATTGCTT